GTGGGAACAGAGTTTCTTTTTTCTATTGCTTCCATCACAATTCCCATACTTTTAGGTTCCTTGTTTTAAACGAATCCAAGAGATGAGGACTTGAAAGGTTTCCATACTGAAGATTCATCCTCAGTTCAGAAAACTAGCATCATACATATGGGTTTCTTGGGCTTAGAAAGTGATCGTTGGGGCTGTCTTGATGGTGGAAAGGGTAGGACTTGAAAGGACCCTTCCGCAATCTAGCCGGAGATGACTAGAAGCTCCTATTTCTAGAACCCGTCCCTCTCCACCTTCACCCTCCTCTTCTGTTCCTCCCCTCCCCTACGCCTTCCCCCCTACTTCCCCTTCCTCCACCCAGACTTCCAACCCAGGGTCGACTACTACTAAGACTAGAACAATGAGTCATTTTCCTTGTGAGATGAAACCCCTGTATGGGTTTCTGTTATTTTCAGAACATCTGGTTTGCAAATGAAAAGATCTCAGGGGCACAGCAGCACTAGGGAACAATTCTGAAGAAGCTTTTAACAAAACTTGAAATTGCTTAACAAAAAACCAATCCACTCCCCACCTTGCTGTTCCCTGGTGCCCTACCCCATAACCCGCCTTACCCCATAACCCCTTCCGCCCCCCCCCCCCCCCCCCCAAGGAGGAGAGGGTGACTTTAAGAAGTAAGAGAGCTTTATCAAGACTTCCCTGTTTGGGCCTTTTAGCTTCTGTTCTGTTCTTGTCCCCTTTTTTCCCAGCCCCTGAGAAATGGGAGTTTAATTAAAGCATAACATAGTTGGAAAGAAAATTAACTGAGAATCCAGTAGAAAATAAATTTCGAAATTTAATTTTCCGGCACGTATTTTTGCTTTCAATAGATTTCAAATAAGTCAGAAATAAATAAAGAAACGAATTTAAAAAACTATATTTAATATATATTGGCTGGCGAAACACAACTATGAAAATAAAATTGTCAGGGGAATTCCTCGCCTGCCCTAGTGTCTAGATTTAAAGCAGCTCCGTAACACAAACTGAAGGGGAATTCAATTAAGAAAACCCATTGGCTCCTTATTGACTTTAGTTAAGAAAATAAACTCGGGGAAAGTGTATTAAAATATGTCTGGACTGCTTAGTACGCTTCCATTTAAGCTTATGACAATCAAAATGGGAGAATTTAAATTCTTTACAATTAAGCTCTGCTTCTGAGCAGATTGGGTTCTCTAGGTTATTACACTGTGCATTTTTTAACGTAGATCCTGCACACGCGCACCCCAAAATGCAGTCTCACCGTGAATCGGGGCGTTCTAAAGCAGGAGCACCACGGAGCAATTGGAGAAGAAAAAGTATTTAAGGTTGTGAATTTAATTTTGTTCTAGGATTTTCATTTTCATTTATGGCACCCGTTGTGTGTGAGACCACGGACTAATTTATGGATTAGTTTTAAACCCCCAGTCTGTCACACTCAATGAACAATTCTAAGTTGGAGAGAATCCATATGAAAGGATTAGAATGTGCCACAGCGGAGCTTACACATGACTGTTTCAACTAAATATTGCCCAGCTGCCTCTCATGCAGCAATTTTTTTTTTTTTTTTTTTTGGCTACTTGGTTAAACGGCTACAGTCTCTAATCTCACACATTGTCAGAGCCTTTTCATTCTGTAAATATCTTATACTGCCACATGAAATATAGGTGATGTTTAATTTATTCAAGATAGGATGCCATAAACTGTTGGTATGGCCAGGAGACCGAGGAGTCAGTATTTCGTGAAATGTGCATCTTTCAAAACGTGCAGGGTCTGCCCTCGGATACCTTGTTTGATGATACTCGTAAAACAGCCCGAGAGGGACTATTAAGGCCACGCACACTGACTGGGTTTGCAGGAACCTGGGATTGTTTTTTTGTTGTTGTCGTTGACCATATAAAGTAAGTATACAATAAATTTGCCCTGTTGTAATTAAAATTAAAATCAAGACAATAGCTCAGCAAGGCCTTTTTCATTCCCTAACCCTATAGCGTCTGAAGCCCAACTCAACTCTTTGTGACCTCTTTCTCTCCGATGAGTTTCTAAAGGCAGCAGCAAAAAGCAGTTGAAAACAAGTCTTTGTTAGGACAATTAGGCGCTGTCATTTTTCAAGCTAATGACAGCGTTTCTAACTTGTATTGGAAGTGGACTCCTTGCGTTTTGCCCATACACTCCGAATGTGACCCAACAATGGAGTGACCCCACGAGTTGATTCACAGGGGTGGCCTGGCACCTCTCGCCAATCTTCTGATTAAGACACCCCGAATAAATCCCACTTCACAGAGCGGCACTCCCTTCAGAGCCAGGGTGTCTGCGGTTTCTGCATGAAGTCATAATGCAATTAGGAAGGAGAATTAGATTCTGTCACACTGCTCTCCTGCGGGGAGCACAAAGTCACTTCTAAAGAATTTTTTTTTTTTAATTCTTTACTTGGAATAGCCTCTGTTCAGAGAGCATACCAGATGCTCTTAGAGAAATAGAATCGGTGCCTCCCCCAACACTCCCTCACACCCCCTTCGAACTCTGTGGCCAACCTATGTGTCTGCTGCGTTCCCCTGCTTTGTTGCTGACCATGGCCTTGCCACTTCCAGCCACAGTGACTTGTGTGGTTTGACTCGAACGTGTGTTTGCTTTTAACTGTCCTAGAAAATGTTTCCACCCCCCCACCCCACCCCCACCGCATCCCTTTCTCCTCCTGTTTTGGGTGCAATTGATGGATTTCCTGTCCCCATACTGGGGAAGCAAGCTGCACTGTGGACTGGGCTCATTCATTTTCTAGTGCCCACAAAGAAGCTGACGCCTAGGGTCACTTAACTTAGTTTCATGATAAAGTGGGCAGCACGGTGATGTAGGAAGACGGTAAAAGGAGCAGTCATCAGCTCATGCTAAGATAGGAGTTTTGAGGGCTCTAACCTCTAGGATTTACTCCACCTCCTCTCTTTCATGTTTATGCTACTTATTGACCTGCTAAGATCACAGCCTATGAGAAGCGCTACTATAAAAATAACCAAAGTATTTATTACCTTTTTTTTTTATTTTGTAAAGGAGCCAGTGCCTATCCATAAAATGTGTTAGCGTGTATATAAATGTTTCTGTACAAATGTGCATTTGATCTTACCCCTTAAGCTGAAAGCACCTGAAACTAACACTTGACTTGGATGTTTCAAGTAAGGAGATGTGTCAACTGTGTCATGACGATCCCGTGTAGTGATGTTTCAACTGTACAATTTTTGGTATTGTTTTTTACTGCTATTTTATGCATACAGACTTGACTTGTAAGTATTGTGTTTTTATGCAGTGTATTTTATGTTTTTCTTTCCTTCATCAATTCTTCAGAAACTCAGCTATAAGTTACGTTAAAGCTACAGTGGCTTCTCAGACTGCTGGTTAATCCTGGCTCCTTAGAAGGGCTGCAATTGTTTTGATGGTTATAGGGTCCTGAGGAAAGCATGCCAACTGAGGGGGAACACCGGTGTGAATTCATGTATCCTGATTTGCAGATCAGAAGCACCAGGCTCGTTTGACCAGAAAAAAAAAAGAAAAAAATGTGGCATTCCATTGCATTTAAACATTGCCTGTGTCGAGTCCGGAATAGTCTTTTGGAGTCTCTAGAACTCATGAAAATAATTACCAGCTTAAATAGCTATGTTAAGGGTGGGAGGTAGGGGAACAGATAACTACTTGCAGTTTCAACCAAGAACGCCACCCCAGCCAGAGATGACGAGTTCATGTCACCATCCCTCCCTGGCCAGATGGGGATAGTGGAAAGAAGCATACTGGAGAGGTGTAGACTCGAACACGAAAGCATGGCCAGATGGGTTGACTTTGGAATGAAGTTGGCCACAGGAGTGGTGTTTAAAAAAAAAAAAAGACGACTGGAAAAAGAATGTCATCGTGCATTTTATTAGATATTTATCCCACTTTCCCTCTAGCCAGAAATAAAAAGAAAATTTCTTGAGCCCCTTGCGCCATTCCCTGTGAAGAGGAGCCAGAACAGCACGCCTGGTTCGAAGCCCAGCAGAAGGAGGAAACTTGCACAGCATCGGAAATGGAAGAAGAAAGAGACCACGGTTTCTTCCACAGCAAGTGCATCTGGCAACGCGAAGGTGGCCACAAAGGCAGGGGGCTCCCTGCAGCTCCCCACGGCGAACATGGTGCTGCCCTGGGAGCAGAGGGATGGCTGGATACTGTGGTTTGTGGAAAGTCACGTGATCGGAAGTGGTGTTTGGCCAATTGTGTGGACTCGGGTGTGTCCATGGTGGTCTTCTGCTCTTAGGTTGTAACCCAGGGAGTGCTGCAAAGTGAAGAAAGGATTCCTGGTGGCCGGGAGAGGGGGGTGGGGGGGGGGGGTTGTGTACAGAAACTTTATCGGGAAACTGTTAATATGCTCATTCCCATGGCCTCCCCGTCCGTGGAACTTTCCAGCTGAACACTGCCAAAATAATTCCGTGGGATGGAAAACTTGAGCTCACGTGTTCATGTACAGGCATCTGAGCGTAGCCACAGAGGATCCTCAAAGTGTGATTGTTTGATGCCTAATGGGCAGTCACAAAGCCCGGGCGCCTGCGTGGGCCGGCTTCAGACAAAGGCAATGTTTGAATGTACGAATCCCTTGCTCCGCCAGCCTGCCGACTGAGCTTTTCCGCCCCAGTCCTGAGCCTTTATGTGTTCAGAGCCACCGAGTCTGCGCTGGTGTTTCCCCTCACTTTGCATGTTCCCCCGACTATGGACGAGCAAGTAGATGTGTCCTGGCAAGACCCCCAGAACCACAGAATTGACTGTTTTCCTCACTGGCTCGCAGCTTTGAGCTGAAGGCATGTCTTAAAACAGTGCAACTCACTTCAAATGCTTTTTGCTTTTCATTTATTATTGCTTGTCACGCGATGTTCTTTGAAAGCTTGCTCATATATTATCTGTTCCATTTTTTTCCATTTTCCCTTTTTTTGCATGCCGTTCCTCCTGTTTCCTCCCTTCCTCCAATCCTCTGTTCCCGTCTGTAGACACGGCAGCGACGACAGAACCCGCAGTTCACGGTTGGTATCACATTACTGTTTATCTACTTTCTCAGCGCTGCTGAGAGGCAAGGCAAGCCTGGGAAAAAGAGAAATGCAGTCTTCAAGGGAAATCGTATTTCGAGTAGACTGATCTCATACATAGACTGTAATTTTGAAGGCTTGAAAGGATGTCGAGTCTTGTCATTTCTGTTGTGAGTTCAGGAGCCCATGGTTGCCGTCTGGAGGGAGGCCAGTGACTGTCAGGCCAGGATGCGGGAGACCCGGCCACAGGTGGCCCTTATGGATAGAGCGCCACCAGACCCCAAAACACGAGGGATTTCAAAAATGAATATTGACCTAAAAATCATGGCCTTTGGATTAAAGGCCCAGTTCCTTTCTTCGTTGATAGGCTAGAGTCCCAGGTACATTTGGAAGAGGGGTCATTCTTGACACTCAGTAGTTGAGGCCGTGAAGGACAGGTAAGGGCAGAAGGATAGTCCTGTTTAAATTCACGAGGTGGTGGCAGGGGAGGGCATCGCTCTTCTCTTAATTATGTTCCCCATCATAGCTCCCTCTGCAAACCCGGGCCAGTTCACTCTTAATTTCCATGTGTGCACGCAGGCTTATGCTAGCTAGCACTGGGCAGGAAACCTCTCCAAGCCAGGAGGGACACCAGATGTAAATTTTAACAGCATTAAGTGGGACTGAAAAGATCACTTGTGTGCGGGTATCTCGTAGGCAAAATACTACAAAGTTGGCTAAGGTTGTAAACAAAAAGTGACTAAAAAAGAAAAAACAAAACAGCCATTGGGACATTCTTTTCTATTTCCTCTCTGATTTACCAGGTTGGAAGAAGCCCATTAACTTTTCTGTGTCTCTCCAATCAGGAAATTAGAATCATGTTTCATCTGTATAGGACTTCATTCCCTAACTCTAACCTTAGTGATATTGTGCTTGGAGAAGTGATGTTACAAATCGAGCTAAATTTTAATAATTGAGTTCAAGGGGATTTTTTGGTAAAAGGCCTATTGAAATCATTTAGCACATTGTACAGGGCTGGACTCCACCATTTAAGCGACAGGGGGTGATCAGCCAAGCCTTATAGCAAAACATTTCTTCCTAGCACAGACTGACTTCCTTAAAACAGACCTACATTTGAGGACTTGGCAGTTGGAAATCTCTAAGTGAAACCCGTCCTATGTGAGCTGTCCCCGAAGGTCAGGCCTTGATGCTTGGCCCCCTGCCCCCAGTCCCCATTTGGACTTTCTGATGAGGAATTCCAAGAGAGCAAAATGAACTTGGGTGTGGAGCATTATTTTCATCCCCACACCCCTCCCGCCTCACCTGGCCCTTTCCTGTCACCGGGCACAGAAGGAAAAAGTAAAGGGCCAAATACACTGGCAATCATGAGAAATCAATTAGGTATAAAACCTCCACTTTCTAAGGTAATGCCCCATAGTGCTTGCTACAGCTCAGGCACTGCACTCCATTAAGCTTAGTTATTTGTAGGTTTCATCATTAATTGAGCACTTCCTGACTTTTATCGATTAGTCGCAGAGCTTTAAGGCTATTTTAATGCCGTTCAAGAGATTTTGTTCTGTTCTTTTTAAGATGATTTAAGTTCTGAGCTTCCTATAATTGACTCCAGGGTCAAACGTAGCCTATATGATTCCTGAATTCTGTGAGATCTTTGAAGAAATATTGATCATTTATCTCCTAAGACTCCAGAGTTCTATTTGCTAGGTCCCTTCGATAAAATCCATGTACTTACGGGACTCTGATGGATGTAAGTCTTGGAGTTGGCTGAGGTATTCCAAGTAGGAAATACGTTCCCTGATCTGAAAAATGAGAAGTTAACCTAGGGCCCCATCATGGTCTAGGACACAGTTTTTGGTCAGATGTTTCTTCCTGGAAAGAGAAAGTGACGGTGATCTCTCTTTTGTAGTGTAACAAAGAGACACTTGGAATCAGGCTTTCTAGCATTCCTGGGGCAGAGAACAGAGAAGCAACCACTGCCTTATTAGTTCAGGGACAGCGATACACCACCAAGATGATGTTCACTGGCTGACAGCCAAGAAATGTTGGGGAGGAAGAAAAAGAGTTTTCCCCTCCCCCCCCCCCCACATCCATACACGCTATTCCTTACCAGCAGGAGGACAGAAGTGATAACCCAGGATGGTCCCCTATGTATAAACACATTCTCCTAACTTGTCTGATACCCTCATAGTGTCCTCGTATAAACACATTCTCCTAACTTGTCTGATACCCTCATAGTGTCCTCACAAAGAGGTCCTACCACCCACAGCAAACTGCTTTAATGAAAGCCAAAGGAGTATCTAGAATCTTCCTTGATGGAGGGGAAACGGTCTTCAGGTCAGTCGTTGGGGTAGAAAATGTGATAGGATATGGTGGAAACTATAAAGCAGGGACCCTATCTGGAACCAGATTGTCTTCAAGTAAATTATGGCTAAAACCCAGCTTCTTCAGTGCAGCAACCTTTTGACTGACATTCACTTGAGAATAACCTTGAGATGTTCATGAGAGAGATCTGGGCCTAGAAAAATGGCATGGTTGGAGAACTTGGCAACTCAAATGACAAGACATATTAGGTCAGCCTGTCATAACATCTTTATTGGTCTTAAAAGGATTCATTCTGGAGTTCCTTTTATAATTCTTCTTTCTTTTATAAAAATGAAAAAAATAATTTGTAAAAAAAAAAAAAAGCTTTCCCTTTGAAGACTCATTAAAATACTTTATTCAAGCTTGTGTTGCTAGAGTACGTAAGAAGTATACGAGTTGTTGATGTATGTTGGTCATTTGTTCTTACCAATATCTGATTGGAACAAGCATGTATTGGAAGGTTAGAAGTGCATGGGCATGACTCAAAATCAAATGGATTTTCTCCAAAAAGAAAACAAACAACAATCAGTCACAATGTGTTTTTCAGGATCTAATTGATGGTAGACATAAAAGCGAGTGTAAGAATGGGATCTTTTAGACTAGGGTGACCGAAGGGATTCTCTTTGAATAAGGATCTTGAGCACTTGTGTTTTTGGAGCTCATCCTTAAGGCCTGGTCAGGAAGAATCCTGTGTTATGTGTGCATGTCGAGCAATGCAAAAAACGCTCTGCCAAATCCTGGTACTACGTGGTCTGAAACTAATGGCAGAAATGCATGAGTGACTTAAAGCACGGATGGAGTCGTCCTTACTATGATTATTGACGTGTGGGTGCGCGTGATGGTTTTTGTTTGTTCAAATGTGGGCGCTTCTCTGTGTCTTGTGCCTTGTTCTTTCTCAGCCCTGTGTGTACCCTCTCCCTTCCCCCACCCACCTCCCCTGTGTGAGGTTTGGGGTGACCGCATGCCCATGGTCTGGAATAGTGCTTGTGCTTTTGCTGCACTGCAGTCAGCTGGCTTCCTCTGGGTCGGAGCTTCTCCCTCCCTCCACCCCCCACTTCCCCTCCCCTCTCCTCTTCCCATTTTATGATTTTCCAGTCTACCTATCCTTTTGCTTTCCACCTCTTGATCTATCAGAGGCTGATGAGCTCATGAATTTACATATCCCAAATGAGTTTTTCAGTAGTCTTTATTTCAGTATATAATTCTGGTAAGACTCAAACTGGGAACCCCCTGAAACAACTTTTCACTTTCAGTTTCGGTGGCAAAATCTTTGGCCTGTGCTAGACACACACTCACACCCTAGTCCACTGCCCTCAGGTCGCCACCCTCCACCCCACCCCCGGCCCCCAAAGCTCCCTTTCCCCGACTTATAAAATTTTATAAGTAGTGCAAGCTTTACTAGAATCCTAAAAGCACATGAAATTCTTATCTTAACTTTCTGTTCAATTGCGGGCTCCTTCTGCAGCCCATCCAGAAGGCAAATAGCCAGCAGTGCGCATTATTACAACCGCTATGTCCGCCATCTGTGTATGAACCTCTCTGCACATCTCTCTGTATGAGTACACAACAGTGGCATTCAAAGGCTGTCATTCAGTCAAGGGACTCTGCAGACATTGTGTGTTCTACTCAAGAACAAAGCTAAAGAGGTTTACGAATGGCTGCAGGACCTGAAGATTGTGTTTCAGCCTTGATATGCCGTTTGGAAACAATGTGCTACTGTTTAACGGCGTGAACCAAATTTCTGCTCATGGGAAGAAGGGACAAACTCTCCACAAAAGCTGACAAAGCAGGAAGAACAGGATGACTGAGCTTTTAGATTAAAACTACCGGGGGCGTCTGAACTCTTATGGCTGGTGATGGAAGTAACAGTTTCCATAATATGGCCAAGTGATCAGATGTATGCCGCTTAGGTAAGAAAGAGACCATCGCCTACTTTTTCCTACTGGGAATGGTACTGGAGCCAGGGGGCTACATTTTTGTTTCCTTTGAGGTTTTCTTTAATCGTTCTTTTATGACATTTTTCTGAAAAAAAAAAAAGAAAAAGAAACCCTAATGAACCAAGCCCACAAACATTGAAATTTTGCTTGACCTTGACTTTATTTAACTATCTCTAGGATTTCTTGCTGTTTCTAATGTTTGAGGTTTTCCTTAGCCTGGTTTAAGATTGCTACCTCACACCACTTTTAGAAGCCAGCGACGTCTGTTGGAAAAGAGGGGTAACAACCTCAGAGGCACTGAGGAGGCCCAGGGGATGTGCAGCCCATCCTAGACCATGAACAAGTGCAACACACGTCTACCGTGCACGCATGAAATTATCATGCTCAGAATTCATTGCTCAAAGAAAAAAAAAAAGTTCCACATGGGCCAATAGTTAAACTTTTCACTTGTTTAACCAAGTTTAAAGAAGTTTATTGGATACATTTTAATTAGAAGTGACAAGAAGGGTCTTCAACAGATGATATGGAAGTTTAAAGAGAAAAACCAAGAAGGGATTTCCCATGTATCGTTAAACGGTGAAGTTTCCTTTTGGAAAACACCATCTGCCTCATAAAGTGCATCTTTGTTTCTTTGAGAAAATAAGAGGTGTATGAGTTTGAACATGAAAGAGAACTACTTTAGTCAAAGCAATTCTAGGAGGTAAATTTTGCTTGTCCTCCCTTGTACACTCAGTGCCTCAGTACACTCTTCCAATTACACTTATTCAAAAATTATCCAACCATGGCCGAGCACTGTAGACTCATAAAATACAACAGTAGCGCAAAAACAAATTTAACGCCACTAATCGAAATGGCTTCCCACTTTCCGATGTAATCTGAGCAGTAGATTCCAGGTGATTTGGTGTATTTTAAAATTTATGCTATTAAAAATGACAGTTTCATCTTTAATGAGGTGTGTATCAACTGTCCATTGCTTTTTAATGGGAAACTTTGCCTATCAGTGATATCTCATAAATGTATTTGTCTTTATTTTCTAAAATTAGCTTTCTCATGCCCTCCCCACGGAAGCAGGCATTCAGCAGTAAAGCCGCCTACTTGAAAAATCCTTGTTTAATATGGTTCAGTGGGTGCCAAGCACGTATGTAGAAAGCTTTGATATTCATTGGGCCACGTAGAAGTGAGGGATTAGCCTTCTGAGAACTGCAAATTCATAATTAACTACAGAGAAGTACTTTATGTTGCCCATTTATAACAATTATTCAAATAATTGTATTCATCAGTCTTTATACAATGGATAAAGCCAATTAGAAATAGGAACACTTTCAACCAATCAGATTTCAGGACAAACGGATAGCATCCCTACTCAGTTGCCTCCATAACGGATTGCCTTACTCACTACTTTTCCTCTTGTTGCCTAAATCTATAGTTTGGGAACATCCGCAGACTCAAACCCATTTCTAATTGGCACCTGCTCTTGAACATTGGCACCCAAGGTTCACAATGGAAATTCTTCCTCCGAGAGCTGACACGATGGCTTCCTTTCACACCACCAGCCTGGCCATCAATATTCACTTGGCTTCTTTATAAAACGACTTACAAAACCCAAGCTTTTATTGACCATTTCTACATGATTATTTCTGTTACTTTGGGTTTTTTGTTTTTTTGTTTTTTTTAACTAGTGCGATCAGTTTGACATTGCTTGTTTCCAGAGCATTTGTTTCATGCTCTGGTTGGTAGTTCACTGAGCATGACTCCCACATCATTCATTCAGCAAATGCTTGCTGAGACTATACTCCGTGCTTGGCTATAGAGAAGGGAAGGATGAAAACTAAAGACCCGCCCCTCTCCCCAAAGTCCTTGCGGTTTCATAGGCCCACAAATATTCTTCCAGAGTGACAAATCCCATTAGAGAAGCGGACCCAGAGCCATCAGACTGGACTTTGAGCAGAACGTCAAGGAACAATGAATGGAGGCCTCCTTAGATTGTCTCGTATCTTGGTGGCTCATGATCTTCCTGAAAGGAGCAAGTAAAGCATGAGGAAATGGAATCCCACCCCTAGCCAAGCCTCCCGTTGTTTATCTACCTCCCACTCCCCCTCCTTTGATTCAGATCAGAGCTAGCTGAGAGCTGGCCCCGCTGGCCAACGTTGCTGGTGGCTCAGTGTGGACCTTGCAAGCCCTCCCCCCCCCCAGATTAGCTCCTGGCCTAACTGCTTTCTCAGCTTTGAGGGTTTCATTTTTCAGGCATACCACTGATTTTTTTTTTTTAATTCTCCTTTTTAAAAAGTCATTTTGCAAATCGGATTTTCTGATGAAGACATAACCTGCAAAATCTATAGTTAGCAGATGCTGTACCATTTTGAAATAAGTGATCCAAGATCGTCATAAATTGATAATGAAATGTATTTGTCAGTATTGGCAAAGGATTTCAATTTATGGGAAAATGTGAAATAAAACTTACATACAGCGGTATGTAACCTCAAACTGTATTTGTATTCAAGGGCTATGTCAGAGCACTGACGGTTAACAATCAGGCTTTTTTTTTTCTTTTTGCATGCTGTTATGAATGAGTGATTTTAAACATTCACCTTCATGTTTCATGTGTTTTGAAAGCGGAGACTGAGGAATCTTTCTGCCTTGATTGTGTATCAATAACAAAATGAAACGATTGGAGAAATGTACTTATGGATTAATGCATTCAAGCTATCCAAAAAAGAGCGAGATAGCAAGAGATTTGGCTCATGTTTTTTTTTTTTAAGAAATTCATCCTCAGTTCTGAAGTGTTTTGTTTATGTCCCTTGAGGAATGAAAAGAAAAACGATTTGTTTTTACTTGTAAGGCCTTACTCAGTTGCCCAATTCCGCAGAAGAACTGGACAGTGAGGACCTCTCAGGTAAGGGCTAGTCATTAGGTAAGGCACTGCGGTGTCCAACCTGTGCGTGCTCTGTCCACTTCTACAAAATGGCCATTTGGTTTCCCGGGCAGTTAATTAGCAATTGTGGATTTTGAGATAAAAGGAAAACAAATTTTTATTAACACTGTCTTCCTCCTCGCCCCCTTCTTTTTCCAGTGCTAGTGGCATGTATATTTCTGACTGGGACTGAGGGGGTCCGTGCAAGGGGGGGCAGCTCATCGTTGGATTGTACGAAAGCCACTGTTTTCCGTGGCGTAAAATACTTTCTATGCTCTGGCTGTATAACGGTTCGAGAGAAATGTTTTGCATTCAAAGCTGTTTAAAGATGTTGGATTATGAGAGAAGATCTTCCTTTTAAAAAGAAAAAAAATTCCTATTGAATATCTACTTCTGTAGAATAGACTAGAAAAGCCACATCATAGTTATCTTAGAGGCCGGGGGTGGAGGGAGGGGGCAGAGAGGAAGGGGGGGCCATTGTTTTGTCACACACCATGATGTAAACTAATTATCCAGCTCAGACCTTTTTCACAGCACACTGAGCTCTTGCAAAAGTAGGTTTCATGCTTGATTCCAGGATTTAGGTGTTACTAATCCAGAATAAGAAGCATATCCTAAAGGGGGGGGGGGGGGTGGGGAGGAGATTCAAAATGGTCAGAGCTAAACAGTTCCATGAGCTGCCATGATGTTCTGGGGCTTCCCAGAACCAGCTACAGCCCCTTTAGCATTTCAATCGGTTAATTCCTAATAAATCAGTAAGGAAGCCCCCTTCCTCCTCATCACTGTGTTGGAGGCACCAAGGAGTAAGGCTGCAGAGGCTGACTCAAGCCTTTGGAAGGAAGGGGTCCATATTGCCCCTTGTTGAAGAGACTTCACTTCCGCTCCCTTGAATAGTTAATTGCGAGGTGATGGTCCCTGACTGTGGGTTTCACCCAGCGAGAAAATCAGAGCCACCTAGTCTTTCCAAGTGCAGATTTTTCGCCTCTCAGGAGCTTCCATCAAACCTAGAAAACAGGGTGGGTGCCTTTATTTTTCGACGTAGCATGTCCCAGCTTAAGCATGGCTGTCAGATTTTCCCACCAAGTGGAAGCTCCGAGAGGCCGTGTTGGGTTTGTTCGCTGCCGCCTGCCTTTCGTGTAGCAGACACTCGATTGGTACTTGTTGGATGAGTAAGTTCCAAATCCTAGCGAATTCAGATAAATAACTAGAAAATTAGAGAGACAGCCAGCCCATCAAGGGAGGGTTTCATTTTTGCCTCTTATGTGTGGGGTATTTAGAGAAATTGCAAAAAACCTTAGCCCGCTTAAAAGAAGAGCTAAGTCCTGCTCCTTGCCTGGAATGTAATGCTGTCTGTAAGCAGTCTGCTCTCGGGTCGTGTCCTGACCCTAAAGAACACAGGTGACCCCATGGCCCTGGCAAGGGGAACTTCTCAAGGATCCCAAGAAAGGACTGAGTCCTCATGGGCCTGACCCCTCTTGGAGTCATCGTCACCTGAGGGTCACTGAGATAGGCAAAGGGAATTTTTGTCCTCGTTAGGAAAGCGGGACCACGTCAGCCATCCACCCCTTCCTCAAGCATCATCAATTAAGGAACCACTCCGGGTCTCTCAGCCCTGCACCAAGTCAGATGCGGTCCTGCTGCAGTTCTATCCATCACGCCCGAGTCAGGAGCAGTAAACCAACAACTGTTTGTGCTCCTAATAATTTGGTTAAATGAATAATTATGTCGTTCCCCCACCCCCACCCCCTCCAGGAACGCTGCAGTCCTGGGTTGCTCGGGAGCCATAAGTCATGTAGAACACTGATGATCTATCAGTCCGGGCTTGGGCTGCCTTTGCATCTGGTTTGATGAACTAATCAAAAACTGATTAGCACCTTTGTTCAAAGGGGATGCTGATTAATCAATTACTATTGATTGTGAGCTTGGCTTCCCTCAGCAGCAAAGAGACATCCAAAGGGGGAGGAAAAAAAAAAAAAACAACCAATAAAAATTGAGCAGCTGTCATAGTGTTTAAATTTATTAAAACAAAATACATTATTTTTTATGAAGCTGTCTTGAAATGGGTCACTGAAGGGGAGCATATTGATTGAGAAAGGATGAACTTCTCAAATTTCTGTAGCCTAGAGACTGAATTCAATTATAATACAAGACAAACAGGTTAACACCCGTCTTAAGCAGTCCATCAATAAATTAGAGTAGGTGTTGCGCATTTAATGCTAAACTGTGGTAATGAATAATATTACCATCCATTCCCTTTTCCATCTGGGTGGAAATTTCAGCCTTTCCTTATTACGGATAGATGCTAGATCCTGCGTTTCCTTAGAAATAGCGAAGGTCTCTCTTCTGCCCACTCCCCCCATTCGCCACTGCTACCTGAGCTAATGACAGTCTCATAAGCAACATATGGCACTCTGTCCTCACCCAGCAAAGCACGTTGCCCAGCTGATCCTCCCCTTTAATCTGCATTAAAAAATTATGCTTGTGTGTAGTTCGGTGATTTAATAATTGGCAGAGCTGGGGAGCTCCTCCAGTCCTACTTTGAACCCTTTCATTTACTTTTTTGGGTGTTAACGTTATTGACGATGGGCCCCTAAGAGTTTCGAATTGTTTTATCAATTACATCTGCTGTTTCCTGGTGACAGCTGGTGGTTATTGCCACCCGTGTGGAATAGAATGGCTTTAAGCATATTTATCTTTCGATTTTATTTTAAAACTTTTTAAAAAATGTCTGCACTGCCTCCCTCCTTTCAGCAATGGAAGGGTCTTTGGGGACTCTTGAGCAGAGTGCCTTGGTAAATACACATTGTGCCAGAGAATGGCCCTCGGGCACTATCAGAGCAGTCCATCAGTCTTCTGCTTCTGAAGCGGAGGCACCGACGAGAAATTCCAGAGCTGTGATGCTTCCCCCAAACATGTTTACAGCTCTTGCCCTACAAATGAGAAAGCGATCTAGAAAAATCCCACATCTCCCTCACAATCTGTAGAAGAGTGTGGGCAGAGGGCAACCCCTAAATGGCTCTGATAATCCGTGCCAGGCATGATAGAAGATTCTGGGTGGGCCAGCTGGCGTCCCCTGAATGATTTCTGTAGGAGACAGGGGCTCACAATACAGTCTAAATGTAGATAATAGAAGCACATCAAGCCCTTTGGATCCCGATGGTCAGCTCTGGGGTGGGGGGCGGGCTCTGTGACCATCTGGTCCTTGTGAAGGTCCAGAGTCGGCTGAACTTGCTTGAAATGTGTGTGGAAAAACTCAATAGACAGAACATTGAGGGTGGGGGGGGCAGTCTTCCTTGCCCCCGCTGACTCGCAATAACGATGATGAAGAAAAACCAGCTGGGCTGTGTAGACCAATTCTAAGTACAGCTTGTAAATCCAGTGTAGTGGTATTTAGCTTGTATACAGTTCTTTTCAGCTTAGAAAAGTCTTTCACAGATGATCTCATTTGCTCTTTGCTGGGCACCACTGTTAGAGCTCCTGTATGTGCTAGACCCTGGGCCGGGCACCGGGCATGCAGCCGTGAACAACACCGCCCAGGAGGGCTGTGGCGATCACACCGCAGGCCCCCGCACTCATAGCTACTTTCTAGTGGGGCGGCCAGGCTCATGACAACGAGATAATGACGGACAGTGACAAATGTTGTAGAAAAAATTAAAGCGGGTAGAGTGAACATGAGTGACTGGGACCAGAAAGAGGCAGAAGCCAGTTTAGAGCCAAAGCTCCCCACAGAAGGCCACTGGGACAGGGCGAGGGAGCCAGCCCTGGGAGCATTTTCCTGACCGGTCTCGTTTTGCGAGTCAGGAAGCTGGGGCTCCCCAGGTTGAATGATTTGCTCAAGAAGCAGAGCCAGAATTTGAACGTGCGGGTCTTCGGACCTCTGCAGGAAATAGAGACTAGTTTAAGGGTAGTTCTCCCTCCACCGTGAACTCCACGCTTCCTCTGTTCTGGGGTCTTCTCAGGAATCCTTTCCCTCTTAGACCCCTTTCAATTCAGTGTGTGCGTCCAGGGAATGAGGAGGGGAAAGTGAGCCTCTCTGGAGCCTATCAGGGGCAGAACCACATGCCAAATGACCTGGAAAGATCTCTTCTGGCATCAACTCAAGCTTTTTCTCCTTCGAAGAAGGCCATTGCTTCAGATGATTTCGGTGCCATTGTCCAACACCGTCTGAAATTCTGGGATGTTTCCCACTGAGATGATCCTATAGGCCGTGGGAAAGTTTGGGGTCACAAAGTTTAAAACGTGTAGAGTTCCTGATTTTAAAATTCTGTTGAACACAAGGCAGTAGACAGAAGATCGCCTCAGGTCTATGGCAGCTTGGCCACAGCGCTCCCAGGATGGGAGTTTGAAGGTCATTGAATTGCTGATCTTCCCATAATCCAACATGCTACTGTTTCCCTCATGGGGAGGAAGGAGGCCATCAAACAGGAACGTTTCCTCCAAACTAGTGAGGTGCCAGGCTATGCCACGAAATGTGAATTCCAGTTCCACAGGTTGGACACTGCCTTGGGGTTACTTCACCATACTCATGAATCCATCCTCCTCACACCCCCAAATGCCTGAGGTCCACAGGAGCATCTTTCTCCAGAAAGAGATTCTAGTGGGAAATGAATGTTTGGAAATACTTTACGACTCTGTCCTCTTTCTCAGCTGTACACTCTTTGAAGGAGAACTCTGGTTCCATCCTCCCATGCCTTCCCGTTGCTTCCAAGGAAAAGGGCACTCTCACTTTGAAGTCCTTGTTAAGAGATGAGTGGAGTGGACTCCTGAGTGTGCCTCCTGGCCTCTGGGGACACTGAGTGTTTGGGAGGACCCCGTCGGGCTCATTAAGGCATTTCTGCTGTTGGGTAAAATAACTAAATCAAGTTGTGGGAGAAAAAATCAACATAAAAAATATTTGTTCTCAGTATTTAGCTGACAATAAATACTTCCAGTCCTCATGCTCAGATGGGACACCTGAGTCATGACCTGACCCAGGTGGCCTT